GAAAAAGAAAAGAAAAGAAACAACTTTTCCTTTGAATCCATTTAGAAACTCAAAAAACTGTGGAATGTTATTTCTTTCTCTCCTACTATCACTACCGCACCTTGTGGGCAGGCTGTACAGAAAGGTTTCACCAGGGCCTGCATGGTATAAGAACAAGAGGGGTAAATGTGAAATCTTGTGGCTAGATAACACAGGAGTTTCTCTCTAAATTTATTCCATTATAAAAATTTAAAGCAAAGCTTTAAAAAATGCATTCACTAGTTTTCTTCAAGAGAAAGAAAAAGGGGGTAAGCCCTAGGCTTCTCTTTCTTGTTTGTTTGCTTTTTAGAGTTTAGATTGCTTTTCATTCTGTTTTTGTTTTTCAGAAGCTCAGATCATTTTAACAATCTCATGTCACTGTATCTCTACTTTGTAGCCAATTGGTTTCACGTTTTAGGAGCTCATTTCTCTAAAATGCACAATTAAATCGGGTCCTTTATTTTTACTAAAAATTCATTAGATCATTTATAACTCTAATGATTTTTATAATCTTACAGCCCAGTAAGCCTTCAAATCGATTCTCCCTACAAGATACTTCCCCCCTCCGTTGAGATTTAATCAAGAGTTCCATACGGATCAACAGATCCATATGCTCAGCGGTGGTGGTGTTGGTAACGGTGTTGGTAAAAAGACTAAATTAGTCACCAGCTCCATGGTTTCGGTGTGATATTGAGATATATCCCATAAATACATCAAAATGCCCACCTCAGCTAAGTCATTTAGCAGATGTAACAAGCTCGAGTGCAACAGGGGAAAGAACTTTCAATCAGACTGATAACGATTTGGATCCCACATGCGCCACCAAATAGATATGTGGCTTTGGCAAGCTACTTACCTCTCTGGGCCTCAGTTTCCTATCTATTCCCCAGGGATAATAATACTTTTCTTAGAGGGGTGTTTGAAGGATCATAGTTAATTTACTTAGAGCTAGCAATTTAATATGTCAAATGGGCCTTTTTAATTATTATATTCAGATCTAGGCTTAGGAGAAAGGAAAGAAAGAGAAGGAAGGAAAGAAATTACCCTGAATCCAGCACAGAGCGAAAAGGAAATAGACAATATAAATAGAGCTTAAGCTATAGAGGACAAGTGAAAAGTTCTAATATGCTCTAATCAGAGTCCTAGAAAAGTAGGATAGAGAGAATGGAAAAGATCCTATATTTGAAGGGATAACAGATTCGGCATATTCTAGAACTAAAGAAAATCATGAATCCACAGATAGAGAAAACACAATAAATATCAAGCAAGATAAATAAAAATAAATCCATATCTAGAAATATTATAGAGAAATTGCAAAATATTTAAGACAAAGGGATCTTAAAAGCAGAGACAAAAGATCACCCATTACAGAGCAGTCCTGCTTCTTGGAAGCAAGAGGGCACCATTGCACTGGCAGTGAACCTCAATTGCAACAGGAGAAGCTGGAAGACAACAATATCTTGAAAGTACTGAAAGAAACATGTCAACCTAAAATCATGCTCTCAGCAAAGCTAACGTCCAAAAATGAGGGCAAAATAAAGGTGTTTTCATTCAAACAAAAATGAAGTTTGTGGAACAACAGAACAACACCCAGGGAACTTCTGAAGGATGCACTTCAAAAAGAAGGAAAGTAATCCTAACAGGCAGGAGCATGGGAAAAGGAATTGTGAGCAAACAAATTGGAGAGCATGTAGATAACAAAAATCTAAATAGAGTCTCTATATATGTAATAATGTCTAAATTCCAGAGATTAACAAAAGGACAGCTAAAATACTGGACAACAATAGCATGTTTGGGAGAGGGCAAACAGAGTTAATGTTCAAACATCCTTGTGTTTTTCAGTGGGGAGGATGATTAAGAGAAAATGAAGTTATAAGTAATGCCTAAAATGGCAGAAGAATAAAAATCAAATAAAGAAATGAATAGAAAAACTCAATTTTATTTAAAAAACAAAAAAGACAAAAAGAGGATCAGAAAAAGTGAATCAAATAGAAAGCCAAAATCAGATGATAGAAATCAGCCTAAATAAATCAGTAATTACATTTAATATAAATAGACTAAACCATCATTTCACAGATTATAAAATTGAATTTTAAAATGTAAAGTTAGATTTAACCTCAGAAAGAATATGACATGTAAAGAAAAGAAAAAAAGTAAAATGTAAAAAATTAGAGACTATTTATATGAGACATATTTAAAACATGACACTGAAAGGTTTAAAAGGAAGGAAAAATACGCTAGGTAAGCTAACCAGAAGAAAGCTGAGATAGCAGAAAAAAATAATAAATTGTCAAAAAAGTAGTATTAGGCATAGAGAAGGCTACTTTGGATTAATAAAAGATTCAGTTCAATAGCAGACAATAAAAATGCTAAATAAATATGTACCTAATAGATTAACTTCAAAGTATCTAAACAAAATTGGGGCCGGACGTGGTGGCTCACGCCTGTAATCCTAGCACTCTGGGAGGCCAAGGCGAGAGGATCGCTTGAGCTTGGGAGTTTGAGACCAGCCTGAGCAAGAGCAAGACCCTGTCTCTACTAAAAATAAAAATAAATTAGATGAGCAACTAAAAATAGAAAAAAAAAAAATTAGCCAGGCGTGGTGGCACATACCTGTAGTCCCAGCTACTTGGGAGGCTGAGGCAGAAGGATTGCTTGAGCCCAGGAGTTTGAGGTTGCTGTGAGCTAGGCTGATGCCATAGCACTCTAGCCCGGGCAACAGAGCAAGACTCTGTCTCAAAAAAAAGAAAAAAAAAAAAA